TAAGAAGTATGCTATGATGTAAACTGGTACATTATGATGTCACAATGCTGTTGTGAGCCTGAGTGTGTGTGTATTTATTAGCGGCTCCGCCCTCTCGGTCTGCCAGGCAACAGCATGTGTTGCATTTTTCAAACATGAAGTGGGAGTGGAGTTAGACTGTGGTAGGGGATGACTTGCTCTTTAAGCATGGGTGGCACCAATGGTTGCACATTGTGCAATGACCATTCTTCTTTGCGCTATTTTGTGGTGGTTAGCAAGCCAGTTCTTGGTGCATTACTGCCACCAACTGAAGTGGAGTGGGACTGGGGCCTGGACACTAAATACTATTTATGTCAATATGAAAATTTAAAACAATAATGGTAACACTGAAATGTTCTGTTGGTCAGGGCTAGAAATAAATATTTAAAATGTACAAGGGGTGGCCAATAAAATTCCAAGGGTGGCGTGTGCTACTCCAGGCCACTCTCTGGACACACCCCTTGCAAAGGCATGTCTGACTGCAGTTTGAGACTATCCTTGAGATAAAATTCAGATGATTTTATTGTCATTCAGAGGAACATATATAGAGTATTGCACTATTTATAAAGATGAGGCATTCCGCTGTATAAAATAGTTAATTGGCTGTAGAAATAGCAGAAATGAACTAAAATACTCGATATTCATTTGTGCACACGTACTGGCATAAGCACAGAAATGTCCGTGAACTGGGGTACACGTTTCATTTGGAGTTTCTTGTGCTCAGGTTGATTTAAATATATTTAAAAAGTAGAATTTAATTATATTTCATCTTAAAATCTCTACACAGAATTCCTACTGAGGCATCTACATGTTGCACATTGAATTAGCAGCTTTCCCAACACCCGTTTCAGCTAATCAGCTTTGGGTTTGAGTGCTCAACCGCTGCTGCCACTTCACACCAATCCAGATCGTGTCATGTTCCTGAGCCGAGGTGACACCATCCCCTATCTCACGCTATCAAGCTGATTTCCCACAGGTGACAGCGGAGGGGGCCGCAGCTGCAGAAGATCCACAATCAGGAACGCGGGTATAAAGGGAGGATGGAGACACCTCACTACGCCGGATGATTGCTCCTGTATAGGTAGCCCCAGCCACTCGCTGGGTCCTATATTGATCAAAATGTCCGGTTTTTCATCCAGGAGCAGGGATCGAATTATGGGGGGCTAGGTATCTTTCAGGGAAAGATCCAGTTTCTGCCTATATTACAATATTTATGGACTCTCAGCAGCGTAGCGGGGTTCTGTTGAGCTGAGAGGATGCAGATCGTTGGTGCACCCGCTGCATTCGGCGCACGATACATTCTCAAGGTGGCGCAACAAAACATTAACACATGATCGTTCATATCCGTTTATATCATCAGGTACTCTGTCTTTTAATCGTTCCTGACGCGCTCTACTCATCATGTGCTGCGGTGATTTCACCTCACTGACGCAGCATCGAAATGCACACTCCACTTTGCGGTCAGGAGATCCCTTTGATCTGCTCAAAAGTAACTGATGAGGTGAAAAAGTAAGAATCCAAGCAGCAGTTTTTCTAGAGAACTCAGAGGAGATGCAGGAAGATGAGAAACAGACAGGACGGGAAAATAGTCAAATAAAAACAAGAAAACAAAGAAAAGTGTTTGAAAAGTAAAATGTAGGTAGATTTATCTGCTCTACACGTTTTATAAAACAATAAGTTATACACATGTACTATTTATACATCTGATACAATTCAGATCACCTTCAAAACTCAGTCACACAGCCAGGGCCGTTTCAAGACATTGTGTGGGCCAAGGAAAAACGGAAACACCCCCCAACGCTAAACACAAAAGATTTGAAAAAATGGGACACACTGCTTTGCTGCTAATGAATTTTCACAGTTGATACCTGTGCTCCTTCAAGGCATGTGCTTCTAGCTGCAAAGCATTGCACCTTAAAATATTAAATTTTTTATTTACTTGTGAGTGTTTATGTATATGTAGACAAACAAACTTGTTGATATGATATGTAGATAAATATGTAGACACATAAGTTTATATTCAGTACAAGTTACATAGATTTTTTTTTGCTTCCGTTAGTTGAAAAATGAGAAAAGCCCCTTGAGAAAATAATCATGAATTAAATCGCAATTGCAATATTGAAGAAAAAATTTGCGATTAGATTATTTTCCTAAATCGTTCAGCCCTAGATTTTACTACGGTTGACATGATCACAAGTCCCAAGATGGGTGATGAAAATCCCCATAAAGGCCAGACTTCGTTATGGTGATATTATACCATTAAAGGTTCTCAAACCTGCAGCAAAGCGGAGTTGAATTAACCACAGTGGGTTCCTTGTTGAAGCTGAGAGGCTCTGCATTAGTGTGAAGGACTCCTATCCACCCTGACTGCTGACTGACATGGAAAACACTCAGCTTCCTCTTCTGTCACTTACACGTAAAGCTGGGTTTAGATACGATAACTATGCTAAACTCTCTGAATGAGGCTGCCATCATGTTTTATATCTTCTGGAAACATTTTTTCTATAATAAAAGTAAAGCTGGAGTGTTTTTAAAACCTTATGAGGCAGATTATAAATGCTGTTCATTCTCGACAATGATCGAGTCAAAGGTGTCAGGGACTTCATCTCAGCGTCGCCACATTAAACTGCGTTACAGTTGTACAGGAACTGGGCTGGATTCCCAACTCCCACATTAATATGCCACTAAATTGAATTTTGTTCCATTTCTCTGGCTGTCACGAGACCGCAGCCTTATTATACCCCCGCACTGCCACATGCAGATTCTCACTCTCAGAGACAATATGGTTGAGTTTATTCCTCAAATCTAAACAAATAATAGTAGGAGGAGAAAGTCGATTAATGAAACAAAACTGGATTATATGTTAGGGCGCTGTGAAAGCCTCACAGTACTTCAGTTGTTGCTTTGAACCAACTCCAACCACTCCAATCAAGACAGCGGTAATCAAATAGGCATTTATTTGTTTATGGTTGTGGTTGGTGACGTTCCAGTAGAAGGTCACGGCAGCTGCTCCTGTGGTGATGTATCCATTATTGATCCCCTTCCTGGAGCTGCCTGCGTGCTTAATGGACTGGCCAAGCTATTATCTGTGGGCTTTATTGGCAGTATTGACAGACATACTGGGAGAGGAAGTGCAAACAGTAGCAAGTCATTGCTGCCATGAGCTGACCCCAGAGAAGAAAATACCCTGGTGGCCAAAGAAAAATACATGTACATTTTTTACTTTAAGTTATTTTGGACACTTTTAACTCAGAATTACAGGATGACAGGAGGGACAAACAATGTGAGATAATTTTAACTCTGTTTTAACTCTCATTTCAGAACCAGTTCTTCTCTGTTGAAAGGTCGTATACGGCATTAACAAGCCTGCTAGGCACGTGCTTGGCCAGGAAACAAACCCGGTTTATTATCTATCATAAAAGTCACCTTGAAGGTCATTGTAACATCAGGCAAAAAAGTCCCACATAACCCAACAAGGCAGTGAAAATGGAGTACAGGCCATGTACGCACGTAGCTGGGTTTTTGGAAAGCCGAACATCCTCCTCCACCCATCTAGGATAAAACTTTGGTGAACACCACTTCGTTTTCTGCAAAACAATCCAGTGCCTTATTCAAAGGCAGGCCAAGCCAATAGGGGGCAGTAGTTCCCCAAATCCTTTGTGTCGTTGCTGATAAACATTCCTTGGACGTGGAATACCATAGTGGTGGGCAAAAACAATACTTGGCTACATGTGTAAAGGGTCTAACACTCGTGTTATTTGGAAAAGATTTATCATTAGACAATTTAAAGGGACATTTAGTAAAGTACATTGACAGCCAAATGAGGAATGCATTTTTAGAGGTAATAGAAAACTAATTCGGAAAGGATCAAAACAAATATCTAATAGCTTATAAAGTAAAGTTTTAGGAGTGTGTAGTCCTGACCAGCTCCAATGTGGTTGGTATTGGTTTTGTTTTTATTTATCCATGGCTACATGGAAATAATTAAGAACAAAAAAGTGACCATTTGTGTTTTTATCCATGAAAGAGTCAATAAGTACAATATTTGTTTAAATTTATTTTGAAAAAGTTTCAACATGGTGGAAAACCAAAGATGGCTGCCTAGCTAGTAGATCGGTAACAATTACCTGACGAGATTAAAAGCAGCTAAGGGACTTTTTATCAGAAATATTAAAAAATTAACTTCAAACAGCAACGTACTAGCTAGATGCTTAGCTAAAGGTGTGTTAATAGTTTGAACAAATAGAGTATCAGCTCCATTTTTGCTTTGACATTTAACATTTCAGTATCAGAGCTCTCACAGCGGGAAGGGTTTTCAAACTCGTCCTAAACTGTGCATCCTATTATTTACAGCCCTGTTATTTGTATTGTTTACCTAAAAGGTGTTTTGCACGGCTGTCACTTAGTTTGGAGCCTGATAAATAAAGACAATTAGGCTATTAAGTAAATGTATGAGCATAAGGAAAATCCTGACTTTGTGACATAAACCAAAAAGTTGTCAGCTGAAATGGACGGAGTGCTTTTGATGTGCTGCTTTATTTACATTTTGAGACAGAAATGCTGCATTTCATGGCTGAATGGGAAATGAACCTGATCCGTTAGCGCCAAAAAATTTCAAAAGATATTCTAGTTTTCCCCCTCGACTCAGGCAAAGAACGAACCAGCTTAGTAATTCATAAAATGGATTTACAGCAGGTTTTAGGACTCAGGGGGTTTCAAATCACTCCCATAAACTAATATTATTACTATCTGAGTCAGGATTGCAGAAGGTACAAATGCCAAACACCAGAGGTCTGCATGAAAATGTAAAAAGGAAATTCATTTGGGACAGAGGTCATGAGAGCAAACACACAAGAACACCAGAGTTTATGGTTTTCAGGCCTGAATCACAAATATATCAACTTTAAGAGGTAAATCCAGTGGATTATTGCGGGCAACATTTTTGTTCCTGAGAAATATCAGAGTGAAGTGCTGCTCCTTACCGGTCTCCACGTCGGTGATCGCAGCAGTGTTGTCAAATGAGCCGGAGAGGAGCTGTCGCCCACAGGGGGTCCAACAGGCATCACGCACAGCTCCCGAGTGGCAGGTGTAAGCCCTCAGGCACCGTCCGCTTTCTGCTCCATCCCACACCTGCCAGACAGGCCAAAGTCACACGGAAACCCAGACTGCGGCAACTAAGCCATGAGAATGAGCGGAAACTTTACAGGAGTTATTTTGCTGTTTTAAAAGTTTTGTTGAAGTGTTTTTTTGCTTTCTTATTGATTTTCATAAAGTATTTTTTTACTTAGAATGAAATAATAATTCCCTTCCTCTGTCTCCCTCACAAACACAGCAGATGCACTTACTGAGCAAAGTGCAGAGGACAGTCACAAGATTTCTGGTTCATTTGAAATACAAGTTTTAAGCGTGCTGACATATGAGCTCAGAGGTTTTAGTGACTTTGTGTTGTTGGTTTCTATAGAAAAGCCTCTTCTTTGTTATGGCAGCCACAACTACACAACACAAAGCTGCTCCTCTGAAATGTGACCTCACAGCTAAATAACGTGCATTAATGAAAGAAGTATTATTCAGACTAGTCCATTGCTGATTTTGTCCTTGGTTATTGTACCGGGTTTCAAAAAGATCTCCTGGAAAACGCCTCGGCCAGCGTGGCATGTCTTTAATCAGGGTCCCTGCGATTCTGTTAGACGTGTCGAAGCACAAAAGCTTCTCCGAGAGGCACAGCATGAAGTCCGATGGGTGGTCTGATCTGACGCCCACTGATTGCACTAATGATAAAGTATTTTTGCCTTTCCCGGCATTACCAGGGCCACGGAGGAACTTTGAAGATCTGTGCAGCACCATAGTTCCCTCTGTGCTTCATAATTAAACATGACTCGATGTGGAAACACCGTAAGAAGCACCGTGCAGATGTTCCCACAGGAGACCGAGGAGAGAGGTGGATATAGAAAAGAAAGAGTGACACGTTAATCCAGCAGAGAATAAATGGGAGAACCAGAGCTGCCTCCAGGGCCTCGCTTTTATTTCCAACTTGTTAAATATTGGAGCGATGCATCTATTAGGGATGCTTCTGTTCCCTGTACAACACGATACTCCTGCTCCTATTTAATCCCAGACTAAGGGAAACACTGCCATCTCAAGGCTGGAAGAAAAACGGACAAAAAGCAAAAAGTTAGCGCCCATCCCCACCAAATCAGGACGTGTGCATCACTGAAAACGGGAGTTGGTTTGCATCCTCTTCCAAGAAACACGTCCATTCATTGTTTTAATCCGTAATCCTTAGTTGAGACTCCGTTTCATCAACCTAAAACTGCTGCTTCACATCTACCGTCGCCATGGTGACAGACAGGGTGGAATAACAATAATCTGACAGATAGGATGGAGCATGAAGGATGTCAGAGTGAAGCACAGACTTCATTGATTATGACCCTCCACTCCTATCCAGCCAGGGGGAGGACCGAGAGCATCAGTAGTGAATGCAGTAGAAGACGGAGCACACTGCAGGTGAACAATAGTGAGCGATGAGCTGCTGCCACCATTCAAGACAATTAACACTTTTGCAGAAGCAGCGTGCGAGTATCGTGTTTGTACCTGCAGATATTTGGACCCATGAAGAAATGTTGCATTTAGAGGGAAATGCAAATGAAGCAAACATGATATACAACTGCAGACTGTGTGTACACACACACTCACACACCATCTGAATCAATTCAAACGAGTTCGCATACATTTTTCCATTCCACAAACTTGATTACACAATGAAAATAAAGCTTTTGCTGCATAAAGCTGGAGCTGTTCCTGCTTCACTGCTCCAGTAAAAATGGTCTAACTGTGAAACTGCAGATGAGAAAACTAAGCTCTGGACAGAGAAGACCAAGATAACAGAATGTAAAAGCCTGTCAGATGTAATTACAGCCAACAGCTCAGTAACCAAATATTAGCACCGATTTGATTTAGCTACAAAATCTCATTTGGTGGTAATGCTGCAGATTTTTATCTCTGGGAATGTTCACTTTTGTGTTAATATCTTATAATATTCTAATTTCTGCACCTAAACGGCATTGATGGCAACATTTATTGTTATAACGAGATTTGGGATATTTTTACTGTCATTATAAGGGCTTGGTGCAGAAGAATGAGGAGAGGTAAATAAAAACAAACAACAGGAACAATAAAAGGGGACTTGCAGCAGGTAACACAGACCACCCTCTGGTGGGCATTCCTGTCTCCTGCTGAGCAGATGGAGAACCACAAACATACAAGAGCGTGGGTCATTACGCTCCTAATGGTGGTAGCTGGATGTTCTTGAGCTCTCCCGAAGCTGCAGCCTCCACTGAGCCACCCTGATGATGGCAGTGATGTTGACGCCTCCAGACAGGCCATCCTGGCTGTGGACCCCAGGAAACTGGAAGTCTGAGACCCCCTCCACACCATCCCTCCCATTAAACAGCAGAATGTCAGTTTTCTCCCCCCTATGACTAGCTCCTTAGTCTTTAGAGTAGTTTCTATAAGTGCACCACACTGACAACTGTTCCACCTCTTCTCTGCATGCCGACACACCGACACACAAGGTTTATTCATGCGCAGACTCTTAACTTTTCCCTCATTTGGATGCCATAGTTATTTTTATTTAAAAAGCATCTTAGCGGGTTTAAAGTCGCTGCTTATCTCTAAGAAACATTCATTCTGATGATCGTTTGTTCAAGGCTGCAGGCCAGGCAGTCAGCTACTATTACTATTAGGGATGTAAGAAAATGGATACACTAAAATATCCCAACATTTCGTGTTTATGACACTGTATGAATTTACGTGTAAATATTTACTGTATTTCTTTTGTGTGCTGCAATTCACACTCTGACGGCTAGATGGCAGCAGTTTTTATGGCCTTCATTAGGACAGATCAATAAGATCTCAATAACCCAGCCTGTCCACTGGACGCGTACTGTCCCGTGAAGAGTTGTACGCCGCAGTTAGCTGCTGTTGCAGTCGATTGGTGCGTTTCCATCGGCTGTGAAAAGACACATTTTAGAGGCGTCCATAAGCGTAGTGACATGTTGCTCTGCTAAATTTACCTTCAAACCTTCCGTCAGGAATCTTGGCGTGACCTTTGGCCCAGCTCTCACCCTGGATTCTCATGTCAGTTCTCTTGTTCGCTCTTCCTTCTTCCATCTCAGGAACATTGCTAAGCTGAGTCCCATTCTGTCCCGCTCTGAACTTGAGACAGTTATCCACACCTTCATCTCCTCACGCTTAGACTACTGTAACTCTCTTTTCACGTGTCTGAGCAGAACCTCCCTGAACCGTCTACAGGTGGTTCAGAATGCCTGTGCTCAGCTTCTGACCAAGTCCTCCAAATACACCCACATCACCCCACTTCTCCTCCAGCTTCACTGGCTGCCAGTCAGCCTCAGGGTTCACTTCAAGATCCTGGTTCTGGTCTATAGGGCCTTACATGGACAAGCACCATCTTACATTGGTGATCTTCTTAGTCCCTACACCCCCAGCAGGTCCCTGAGGTCCAGTGATCAAAGCCTACTGGTTGTGCAGCACCAGGCTAAAAACCAAAGTGACAGATCATTTGCTGCTGAGGCCCCCAGACTCTGGAACTCTCTCCCCCTGAGCCTGAGATCAGTGGACTCAGTGGTCTCCTTTAAAAAGCAGCTGAAGACTCACTTGTTCAAGCTGGCTTTTGTATGACCTTCATCACCACTCTCTCTTTATTCTGCTCTCCCCACCTATTCCACCTTCCTCAGGATCCACTGATTTCCCTCTTTCCTAGTCACTCTCTCTCTTTCTTAACATTTTTTTCTTTTAAATCGCAATTGCCTATTCTTGCTCATTTTAAATATATTTTTAAACATTTTCAAAATGCTTTTTTTCTATTTTTACAATTTTTATATTTTTGTTTTTGTTTTTGTGAAGCACCTCGTGATTTTTATCTTGAGGCGCTATAGAAATGATATTTTCTTCTTCTTCTTCTTCTTCTTCTACCTTTTGAGTATATTCTTCATGAGTGACGCTTCCAGAAGACGTCAAGCTCAGAGGTTCAGAAAGGGTCAGACAGGAAGTCGAACACCAGAGCAGCGTACAACATCTGGCAACTTTCAGAATAAAATACTTTATCCTTGCTTTTTATTGTGTAAAATTGCAAAGTCACACATGGTCTTGCAATTCTACAGTGACTGTGCGACCTCGCGGGAGCAGCTGTGTGGAACGCTGTCGCTGCTGCTGATTCACATCTAACGCATCTGGTGGGAAGCCAAGGTAACGCTGGCTGTGACTTGGAAGCATCTGGTGTGAGTTTTCCAATTAAAACTAAAAATTAATAACTAAAACTTGCAAATATCATCTCTCTTACAGTGTCTCTTCTCCCCTCTATTGTGGTTTATAATATTTCGCCAGATTCTTGTCGCTACGAACCAATAATGTAGAAATAACTCACAAAAGCTGGGTGACTGTTTTCCTGACGGAGGATAAAAAAACTGACAGATCGAGTTTATAAACACAAAACGTCTGACTGGTTTTAGACGTCTCTTGAATTTGTTTCAAACCGTGAAATACATAAAAATCATCTTTGATCCCGGGAGCAAAAGAGAGAGCTAGCACGTTGTTGCTATGGTTACAATTTTACCAAAACCAGACACAAACGAGATTTTCTGTGACCCCAGCGCGAAAACATCTACACACTTACCGAACAACCTGCTGGTATATTTGTGTTATTGTCGTAGAAAATGTAACTGTTCTCTGAAGAAGGAGCTGCGCCCGTGGAGAGGAGCATCACTGTCCTTGTAAAACAAACGTACCTCAAGCAGCAAACACACAACTTGCTGTTTTGTGGGATAAATCTTGACATTTAAATATTTTGCAGCTGAAAGTGAGCAGAAGGTGGCTGGTTTCACAGAGAGCATTAGGCTTGACATTCTGAGACAGAGAAGATAATCCTTGCATGCAAACAACCGGGTCTTCCCCTCCACTCATCCTCCTCTAGTCCGCCCCGCCTGCTGCACACAGCCCTTTTCCAGGTGCCAGGCCAGGTGGCTCCACTTGTATGATTATGCAAATGAGCTCATTCATATTTAAATAATTAATTAGTCTGTGTTCTCCAAGGATATTGGCGTGGTACGTGACTTCATACTGGTAGAGAAACATTTAGACAGATAGCCGCGCTGCTTTGACCTTTGCGGCCAGACTAGAGGGAAGAGGGATTGTTTTCCAGGTGTGAAATAATGAAAAGAGAGGGAGGGCGAACAACAGAGAGTGAGACAAAGAACAGGAAAAAAGGAGGGAGAGATATGAAAGCCCTCGTGGGTCCTGACACACATTCGTCTGACGGTGACGGACATGGTTCTGAAGAGAGCGGCTTGTGGTAAATGTATAAATTGAGGCAGCAGAGCAGATATCATGTTTTTCTTTCTGGCTCTGTGTTGGGGACTCAGTGCAGGTTTAGTCCTCTTTAGCTTTCCACATGCACCAGCCTTCAATGCCTCAGATTCGTTTATTTGGATTTATATTCATGGGTCTGTGTTACAAAAAAGTCAGAGCTTTCTGAGTGAAAAATCAATGGTGGCTGCTGTTTTTACCTTGAATGTCTTGTCCATGGAGGCAGACAGCAGCAGGTGACTGAGACTGAGGACAGGACACCACTGCACTGTGTTAACTGGGCCATGGTGGCCTTCCAGGCTCATCAGAAGTTTCCTTGGTATTCCTGCTGCTCCGGGCTTCTCATCGAGATACGGCTTCAGCCTTGCTGACAGATCTGAGAGAATTCGATTCTGGCGGGTCTGAGGGCCTACGACTGGCTCTGATGGGTGCTTTGGATCTGCTGGATCTGCAGAAAGGACTTGTCTCTGTCTCTTAGGGACATAGGGTCTAACACCAGAATAAACAGCTGCCGGCCTTTTTCCTGAACTGGACCCATCACTGAAACTTGGAAAGCAGAGAGGAGTCTGTTGCTTGTCTCCAATTTCACATGGATGAGAGTAAAAATGCAACGCAGAACTGCTTCCTTTTGCCTCTAGAACAGTCTGGTCACAGAACAAAGTGGAGGCATCTTGGTTCCCCTCGCATGTCGGAGTTTGGACAAGAACTGATGTTCTCTTCTCCCTTTGGTCAAAAGATTCCTCTTCTGATTCTGAATCTTCATAAGCCACCAAAGAAGACATCTTCATGTGACACTACAAATGACAGAAAAAAAAGTGTTTAATATTTACACACTACAGGTCCTAGGCTGCCATCTAGTGGCCACTTTAGTTTTTACAACACCTAATTTACCAATAATGTACCGTGTGTGGACGTTATGAATATTTTAGAGCAAAGCAAATCCTAACATATTTAGATTTGATTATTCTAAATTAAAATCTAACTATTTCTAAAAAATCTAAACCATTTCAAATGGTAATGTATGCTCACTAAATGCATCCTTTAGATCAGCTTATATATATATCACTATAAATATATTAAATTCACAGCTGATTTTACACATTTAGGGGGAAAAATCAATTAATCATTATAAATCATAAATGACGTCGTTTAAAGCTTAATAAAATATAAAGAACTTTGCTTTATTATCAAAAATGTTGAGCATTGTACTGGGAATAAGTAAGTAGGTGAATGAATGAATAAATGAATGAATGAATGAATGAATGAATGAATGAATGAACCTTAAACTGTCTTGAAAACATAAAATAGCTGTGACCAATCTTGGTCCTCGAGGGCCACCATCCAGCATATTTCTCTGCTCCAATACCTGATTGTAATCATTGATTAACGGGCTTCTTCAAGGCTTAATCACCTGTTGGTTAAGCAACTGAACCATTGAAACAGTGTTGAGGCAGAAACCCACCAAAACAAATGTAAACTAATTTGGTGGTGCACACAAAGTGTGTTGCAGGTTACTGTTAATACTATAAAAGTGTCATGAACTGAAATGAATAAGACAGCAACAAAGCTAACCCATAGACTTATGTCACTTAACAAGTTACATATTATTACTTAATTTACGACATTTTTTCAAAGTAGTTTCCCTCTCTGTAGCAATTTTAGCTAACTCTTCCTGCCTTCATTTCTTTCTGTGAAATTAATATCGCCAACACTTAAAAACATACCTAGGAAAAGCCATCCATTGCTGTACCTGCGGTCTGAAGATTTCATCAGTTTATTTAACACCTGAGCATGAATTTTATTTTCAATGTCCAACATCCCGCAAAATAATTTCAGCATTTGTGGATTTTCGGAATAAAATAAACTTCCGGTTTCCCACTGAAAGTCCAACCCTTTCTACAGCTATACAAACTTTTAATCTGAAATTTGCCGGTAAGAACAAAAAGTATGTCATTTTCTTCCGCGATTTCCTTTACTGGACAACTACATTAACGATTTTCACATAAAAAGAAAGAATAATAAGGCAATTTTTTCTTATTGATCGTTAAAAAAGTATAACTTAGTTTTCAGGTTGTGCGTTCACATAATGATCTTCTTTGTAACGATGCCGGAACTTAAGAACAAACATTTTTTTATTTGGGGAAGACATTGATTGACGCACAAACTCAAGCTGATGCAAGTTGAATGAAAAAGCTGTTAGTTGTGTGGACAGTTTTACACGGTAGGCTTGCAAGGCATACTTTTAATCTAAAAATGTTATCTGTTTAATTAAATAATGTAATTTCAGTTATGCCAACATTGAATGATTATATCTGTTTATGGTAATTATCGTGAAGATCTAGTATTTGTACGATTAGCTACTAGCTCTTACAAATGAGCTGTTATGTGTTGCCATATGGGGTGTCTTTACTGCTTTAGAAGGATTTACAAGGATGCCAGATTATTTAATTGATCGGTATTATACTTAAATGCTTGACAGATAGTGTAACATTTCTTTATTTTCGTGTTGATAGTGGTTTTTGTTCGTATTAACAATCATGCTTGCTTTGCTGTTTTCTGGCCAGTGTGAAGAAGATGACAGACTGTCAAGAAGGGGAAGGAGCCAAGACTCCGATGGAGCTTTATGAGAGACTGAGTGTACAAGGAGATAAAGTCCGGTCGTTGAAAACAGCTAAAGCAGAGAAGGTAAATTATGTAATTTTTCTGATTAAGATGAATGCATATGTTCCTAAATATTCAATTCAAAAATACTTTATTAATCCCAGAGGGAAATTGATTGATATTGTGGAAACATGAGTCTCATTTTCTGGAACCTACACAGTAATGTACCAGGAGACTAAATTACTCTGTTTATATCTTAATAATTTACCTCAAGCTTATACATTAATGGCTATTTATTTAAAATGCAGTATAGAAAGGTTTCACTTTTATTTTCAATACGAAAGTAAAACCATTGGTGTTTCTGTTTGTGGGTGATTGTTTTTATACCTCTAATTCACTTGTTTTGGAACAAAACATGGAAAATGTATTTAGGCTACACCCCAGGACAGCTTATTCATTTAGACTCCTTTAGCAACTTTTTTTTTTTTTGCATAAAGTTTTTGCTCGTTTCATCGGCTCTCTGCGTGTTGTCTAATTATTTTGTTTTGATTCTCGAGGCTGAAATCGATTCTGCCATCCAGCTGCTGTTAAAGCTGAAAACGGACTATAAGCAGGTGACGGGTCAGGATTATAAAGCAGGATGCCCGCCATCAGAAAACATGAATGTTTCAGATAACGGGCCGGCAGCAGATGGCACAGGTGATGAAGACTCAGTTGATCCGTGGAATGTTTCAACCACCAACGCCAAAGGAGTTGATTACGACAAACTCATAGGTAAGATTCTTTTGTCCCTTTAGGTCTAAAAGCTAAATTAAGCTGCATGGAGGATACACAGATTGTTTTGTGTGTTTTTAGTGAGGTTTGGCAGCACTAAGATTGAAAAGGACCTGGTGGATAGAATAGAAAAAGTGTCTGGGCAGAAACCTCACCGCTTTCTACGAAGAGGAATTTTCTTCTCCCACAGGTTTTTCTTTGTTCTTTGCTAATATCAGGCTCATCCCTTCTAGCTAGTAAAATAACCTAACAGTCATACTCTGGTTCTTTAATGATATTTACGGAGGAATGATGCCATAATCAAAACATCTCTTTATTTTTGCCGGATTCTGCAGAGATATGCATCAAGTGCTCGATGCATATGAGAAAAACAAGTCCTTCTACCTTTACACGGGCAGAGGTCCGTCCTCAGAAGCCATGCATGTTGGTCACCTCATCCCCTTCATCTTCACAAAGTGAGTTCTCTCTCAGTAACATGTAAATACAACACTGCTCATTTTGGTTTTATTAGATCAAATAAACAATTGATCTAACATATTTTTAATCTTAACCTTTACCTCAATATCACCCATTTCTTTAAGATGGCTTCAAGATGTGTTTGATATCCCCTTGGTGATCCAGATGACTGATGATGAGAAGTATCTGTGGAAGGATCTAACGTTAGAAGAATGCCACCGCTTTACTCTTGAAAATGCCAAAGACATAATTGCCTGTGGCTTTGATGTCAACAAGACCTTCATCTTCTCTGACCTGGAATACATGGGGTAAAAACACGAGTTTTAACCAACAGCACCATCCTTAAATGGATACTTTTCTACTTTTTCATATTTTTAAATCATTGTCCCTTATATGTGCTAAAATTACCCTTTACATGGTTAACAAAATGTCGCTCAGACCCCCCACTGCCCTCTGTGGCCCGAATGTCACACTTTCAGCTTCAGAGTGGCGGGCCTGTTAGACTTAGGAAAATCGAGCTGACATACCTGGCGCTGCAGTCTGGTTCCAGCATGTTTCCTGCATGTTTTAGATCATGAACACAGCTGATCTGTTTAATTTAATGATGAATCACTTCTGTAGACACTAATGAAGGTTGAGGAGACATTTCAGCTGTTAGGTTAAGGTGCTAAAAAGACGAACGCACAACGAGGAGATAAGTTTTGCTTTTGGTTCTACAAATAAACACTAGGGGGTGCTAAAAGCAAGCAAAAACGCCTAATGCCCCTTTAAAGTCTTTTTCCAGAGTATTTCTCTTATCCGATGGCACCATCTAGTGGCTGACAAGCATATCACACAAACAGTCTCTTGATCTGTTTTTTTAAGATGACGACTTCAAATTTGTTGTTTGTAAATGTGCTTCTGTAGCCGACAAACTGAGTCAAAACACATTGTTTTACAAGTATTATTCTCATGTCATGTTGTGTTTTCATATATTTATATTTTATAGACTTACTTGTCCGTGAAAAGTTCAACTCTGCATCAGCCGAGATATTCCTTAAATTTGAAGCATGTAAGCGGTAGTCTTAACGCTATTGGTTAGTTCTGGTCGGCGCTCAGTTTCCTATTGCACGGGGCTCTGCAGGGCAGGGGGCGTGCGTAGCAAAAACAAAAAAAAGATGTGTTGCTTTCATTACATCACAGTACATGATAAGACAGTCACTTTTATGGATTTCTGAAAAATCATACCTGATTTCTGAAAGGGAAAAACTCCAGAAAGCTGCTTTAAGGGTTCTGAAGTTGTGTAGGTTGGAAGAGATCTGTACAGAAAAGTAAGAATATAGCCTCAGTGTAATAAATTGTATCTGAAATGATTCTAAGAACGGGGATTGAGGAAAGATAAGTCTCCAATTATCACTTAATAGCTAAAAATTATAGAATTTTTTCTCTCTAAAGGTTTAAAATATAAATATGGTATAGAAAAAATCACATTTTGCTAATCAAAATATATTTTTAAGAGACAAAACGGACATTTTTCTCCTGTTCATCTGCATGAAATAGTTTTTTTAAACTTATTTTAATTTACTTTCAACAGTGCGTCCCCTGAGTTCTACAGAAATGTGGTGAAGATCCAGAAGCATGTGACATTTAATCAGGTGAAAGGCATCTTTGGCTTCACGGACAGTGACTGCATAGGTAAGGCAACAGAAGACTCATTAGAAGAATCATCAGAAATGTGTCCTTATACAGGTGCTGGCCAGTAAATTAGAATATCATCAAAAGGTTGAAAATATTTCAGTAATTCCATTCAAAACGTGAAACTTGTACATTATATTCATGCAATGCACACAGACCAATGTATTTCCAATGTTCATTACATTTAAATTTGATATTTATAGGTGACAACCAATGAAAACATCAAATCTGGTATCTCAGAAAATTAGAATATTCTAAAGGCCAATGAAAAAATGTTTGTTTCTCTAATGTTGGCCAACTGAAAAGAATGAACATGAAAAGAATGTGCATGTATAGCACTCAATACTTAGTCGGGGCTCCTTTTGCCTCAATAACTGCAGTAATGCGGCGTGGCATGGACTCGATCAGTCTGTGGCACTGCTCAGGTGTTATGAGAGCCCAGGTTGCTCTGATAGTCGTCTTCAGCTCCTCTGCATTGTTGGGTCTAGCGTATTGCATCCTCCGCTTCACAATACCCCATAGATTTTCTATGGGGTTAAGGTCAGGCGAGTTTGCTGGCCAATCAAGGACAGGGATACCATGGTCCTTGAACCAGGTGCTGGTGGTTTTGGCACTGTGTGCAGGTGCCAAGTCCTGTTGAAAGGTGAAGTCTGCATCCCCATAAAGTTGGTCAGCAGCAGGAAGCATGAAGTGCTCTAAAACTTCCTGGTAGACGGCTGCATTGACCCTGGACCTCAGGAAACAGAGTGGGCCAACACCGGCAGATGACATGGCACCCCACACCATCACTGACGGTGGAAACTTTACACTGGACCTCATGCAACGTGGATTCTGTGCTTCTCCGCTCTTCCTCCAGACTCTGGGTCCTTGATTTCCAAAGGAAATGCAGAACTTGCTTTCATCAGAAAACATAACTTTGGACCACTCAGCATCAGTCCAGTCCTTTTTGTCCTTGGCCCAGGCGAGACGCTTCTTGCGCTGTTTCTTGTTCAAGAGTGGCTTGACACACGGAATGCGACACCTGAATCCCATGTCTTTCATGAGTCTCCTCGTGGTGGTTCTTGAAGCGCTGACTCCAGCTGCAGTCCACTCTTTGTGGATCTCCCCCACATTTTTGAATGGGTTTGTCGTCACAATTCTCTGCAGGGTGCGGTTATCCCTAGAGCTTGTACACTTTTTTCTACCACATTTTTTCCGTCCCTTCGCCTGTCTGTTAATGTGCTTGGACACAGAGCTCTGCGAACAGCCAGCTTCTTTAGCAATCACCTTTTGTGTCTTGCCCTCCTTGTGCAAGGTGTCAATGATTGTCTTTTGGACAGCTGTTAAGTCAGAAGTCTTCCCCATGATTGTGGTGCCTTCAAAACAAGACTGAGGGACCTTTTAAAGGCCTTTGCAGGTGTTTTGAGTAAATCAGCTGATTAGAGTGGCAGCAGGTGTCTTCTATATTCAGCCTTTTCAGAATATTCTAATTTTTTGAGATACCAAATTTGGAGTTTTCATTAGTTGTCACTTATGAATATCAAATTTAAATGTAATGAACATTGGAAATACATTGGTCTGTGTGCATTGCATGAATATAATGTACAAGTTTCACGTTTTGAATGGAATTACTGAAATATTTTCAACCTTTTGATGATATTCTAATTTACTGGCCAGCACCTGTATCAGTTCCTACTCAGCCTTTTTCACAATTCTGTATTCCCCGGGTTGTTAAGTGTCGTAAATACTCCAATATTTGACTCATCCAGGAAAAATCTGCTTCCCAGCCATCCAGGCAGCTCCATCCTTCAGTAACTCTTTTCCTCAGATCTTCGGAGGGAGAAAAGACGTGCAGTGCCTCATCCCTTGTGCCATAGATCAGGTTGGGACAACAGCATTAAATGATATGCACGTTGGACAGGATGTGATCTTTGTTGTCCCATCTCTCACCCAGGATCCGTACTTCCGGATGACACGTGACGTCGCTCCAAGGATCGGTTATCCAAAACCGGCCCTGCTGCACTCCACCTTCTTCCCTGCCCTGCAGGGGGCGCAGACAAAGATGAGCGCCAGTGATGTCAACTCCTCCATCTTCCTCACTGACACGCCGAAGCAGATCAAGAACAAGGTCGCGTTTAATCACGTCTTTTTAAAAAAAATCTGAGTTGCTTGGTTGTTTCTCTGACGTATCGGACCCGTTATTCTTTACAGATCAATAAACACGCTTTTTCAGGAGGAAAAGACACGGTGGAAGAGCACAGGAAGTACGGTGGCAACCCAGAAGTAGACGTCTCTTTTATGTATCTGACCTTCTTCCTCGAGGATGACGAACAGTTGGAGAAAATCCGACAGGTGAGGAAGGAAAAAAGGCAACAAATCCGATTGCTCCACTCTGTTTAGCATTCTTCTCTGCTCCCCCGGCTGATTTACTCCCATTCTTATCATTTCCTCTCGTTGCAGGACTACTCAAGCGGAGCCATCCTAACGGGAGAACTTAAGAAGATTTTGATTGAGACTCTGCAGCCGATGATCGCCCAGCATCAGGAGAGACGCAAACAAGTCAACGAGGAGATTGTGAAGCAGTTCATGACGCCTCGGCCTTTAAATTTTAACTTGTAGCTCAGTGGAGGTTTTATCATTTAAAATGCGAGGAAACCATTGAGAACTTCACGCCAAGATACAAATGTCATGTTCATGTGTTCATAGCTGCAGGTCTGGAAGGTGAATAAAGTGGAAAAATGTGCATTTAAAAAAAATCTGCTTAATAACTAAGGTGTGCACGATGACATTGACTGTGCAGATGTTGGATTGTGATCAATAACTGTAAATATAAAATTATTAGCAGCCAATATGAAACAAGGTGTAATACCAAGCTATCTGAAGATTTAAGCACTTATCAGTAGCTAGGTTTACATGCAGAGCAATTGTCTGATTATTGATGGGATTCAAAAAAGATAAATCTGATTTATTTAATTTAGAAGATTTATAGTTTATTTCAAATCCCGTTTCTGTGTAATGAGACAAACCCCCATGTCCTGCTGTGTTGTTGCAACGTCTGTATCCAAATGTGTAATTGCATCAAATCCTTCAGATCACAAAATTGTTGCTCAAGTGTTCTTTTTATCTGCATCCTTCACTCTGGCACCTGTTTCTTGGAAGAAAATCAGATTAAATAGAATATTCAACAGTGCTGGTAAGATAAATGTGATTATGCCCAAATAAAATCAGAATACTCCACACAGCTAACTCTGTTGCGCACTGTGAATGCATGACTAAATAACCAGGAAACGCTGTTCAGGGCTGCTTTGTATGGAAATGCAGCCACAATTTTTTTCAGTTGGGATTAAAGCAGAAAGATTTACAAACGAGTTGAATTCATGTTTGTGTAATCCTGGTCTAAATAAAATACAAAACTAATCCAGATTATAACAGTTGAAGTTTTGGCTATTTCTAAAAAAATGACAATTGGCTCCTTTTAAATTTCTAGAGGTGCGTGTTGAATGTAAATCAAGTTATTTGGAATAATCCGTAAGAAACAGGGCAGATTAGGACGATTATTCTGTAATTTCTATGAGTTATTTGGGTTTGTAAGCAATGTTTTATATCTGGTAACACATTACCATGTCTACCTTTCAGATTTCAGTCTTCAGCACATGTTGAAATATGTAAATTACTCATCTTCGGAAATTAATATCTTGCTCTCAGCTGAGTTGACTGGTGACTCGGGGTCATGTCATCTGTTAAGTCAGTTAAGCCGTAAAAATCTGCTGTCACAAAGGATGGATTAATTTATTGGCACAGAAAAGAGATTTATTTATGTACAGTCTATGGGGAAAGCCTAGTTTTGTCTAGGTGACAGACACACCTCATCACCTCTAGATAAAGGATGTTACATTCAGGTGAACTTTTCTCTGATTTGATCACCGTTTGAACACTCTGTAGCCAACAGATTGTTAAATTTTAGACCAATGCAGCTGAGACGTTTTGTTCTGTTCTGCGTGTGCAGAAAGTATCTAGATGTTCAGAGAATTCCAAACACTTATAAAGCGTCTTGGTTCTGGGGCCCTTCCGGGAAACATTTGTCCTATAATGTTGAAGTCGCACTAGAAAGGTTTGAAGGCTTGTTTGACCTTAATTTCTGCTTCGTATTGTTCCGTTTTAGAGCTGTAAACAAGTTGGACCGGGTTTTCAGGAGAAACTTTTGCAGGTTTACAGGAAGTTCCACGTTGTGTTCGGGTTCCTGAACGTGTCACGTGCGCCTTAGATGTGGGTAGTTCAACGCTGACCTCAGGTCAGTTCTGAGTATGATCGGGGTTATGCAGGCATTCGGTGCTTGCTGCACACACGCTGGCACCGCGGGTGATAACAGTGTTGATTTTGATGCTGACGGGATCATCTATGACAATTATAAGCCCCGTTTTAACCCGGCAGCAGCCAATGGGTGTGGGGGGCGGACGGGAACAGCCAGGGGAGTTGTCTGCTCACGGCTAAGCCGATTGGGCTGTCTCAAAAAGGGCAAGCACGCTCCCTCTTTACGCCGTGAGCCTCCGCCTTCTGGCGCGGTACAGAAATAGAAAACGTTGGCAGGAAGAGCAGCTCTAGTAGTGGTGGAGGCATTCATTAAGGCGATTTCCCCCCCCACGCTGAGAATCTGGATAATTTATTTAGCGTGGAGTAGTTCCTTATCTCCGTTTCGATCGACATCAACAGGGGGTGAAATAAGTAGCCGCGCAGCCTGGCTGACCACCAAGCCGGAGGGTTGTAAATAGCCGGTTTATCAATAATTTTCTGACAAGCCTCTCTTCAGTTCTCTCAATTACACATCATTGCCGTTACGTTAAATCTACACCTTCCAACATTTACGTTTTTGTGAGGGAATGGCACTGGACTTCGCAGCTGGATGTATAGGAGGTAAGTGGTTTCAGCTAGCCCCGGTTAGCATCGGTGGCTAGCGTTAGCCGTCTCAGTTATTTTCCATCGTTTCTCGAGGCGCGGACGGTTTCTGCACGTAGCTGTGGCACACCGGACAGTCAGAGCTAGCAGATTACTGGACGGCATGAACGAGCAACTGTGCAAAGGAGAATCTGAAAACGCATTTATTTAGCTGAAATTATTTTAAAACCGCGGTGCAATTTTGTACATTCCATTTCTGCAGCTCTAAAATAGGAACTAATTGTTTTTAGACTCTAAAATTGCGGAAATAATCTCAATATGACTGCAAAATCCTGTTTTTTTTTTCTTTTCAGAAATTACCAGATGGAGCCTTTTTCTCTTATATTATATTATGACCCTCATCATGTCAGATTAGGGAGTTGCTCTTTGCATAAATGCTTTTCTAGAGGTCAACAACATTTTCTTCTTTGTAAAGATCTAGTTTGAATAATTCCAAGGTTGCATCACCCAGAATGACCTGACAGCGTTGTAAACTAGTTCCTATAAGCAAGCAATAACCATGATTTAATCATTTTTCAATGCAAATGTTTGGTTTTATTAGAATCAAACATCATTTGATGGCATTCACAATTGGAGTTAATTAAAATTCTACTAATATGCATGTTAGTTCGTGATGAGGTGGCAGACGTAGACACAGCTTGGCTTTTCCCACATGCCTACAGTGTCAGAAAGCCATTTCTAGATGGAGCAACATTTTTTGGCGATAGGAGGAGATCGTTGACATCAGTCAAGGCCAGGCCACTGGAAAGCTGTCGTCACTGGCAGCAGAGCAGTGACCAGCTGATAGCTTAACTCAATATCACTTTGGTCACTGTGGTCTGATTTATACCAGGTGAGTCTTCAGATCATGACACCCATTTTTTCTTAAATCAAACCCCGTTATCCATCTGTCATCGACCAGTCGGGGGTGCGTCGTTGTACTTTTCAACAAATCTTGAAGTTTAATCAACTCTTGAGTGTGGAGATTGTAACTCTTGCAGACACGAGTCCACAAATGAGTGATGTAAATTAATTTTTTTTATGTTAAACTATTTAAACCCTGTCTTGTGTATTTCCAGGTGCTGCTGGTGTTTTGGTGGGGCATCCGTTCGACACTGTAAAGGTGGGTTTCTGCTCCTTCCTCTCCATCATAAACTTTTAAGGTTCGCTGTTTTGGCGTTGAATAGTAGAAAGTCAGACAACTTTACCGGCAGCCTGAATGCCAATCGAGGTAATCTGAACGTACACAATCACACCGCTGACAAAAAGAATAAAATAATTACACTTGACTGGTTTTAAATCTTTTAAAAATATCTTTAAAATGTGCCAGAAATCAGAGTTAGACGGCCTCCACTTCATAAAACTATTGATGCAGCTTTGCAAATGGAGACGTTCATCTCAGTTTAGGCAAAAATTTCTGTTTTGTGCAATTTGGTTTAAATAATAAAAGATTTCTGTAAATAAACCTGAATATTCCCAACTCTAGATCAAAAACAGTAATTTATTAACCACCCTAAAGGCTGACTAAGGTCTGCAGGTATAAATCATCCACTTAAGGTGTTAGAAATGTGGCAAGGTGAGGGAGGTCCAGGACTGATCTCACGATTGTGTGAATTTGTTGCATCTGCTTTAGAGGCGCACACACATGGTGAATGGTTTGGTTGTAGTTATTTTACACCTTGCTTTTAATGTCGTTTCTCCCTGAGCCGGTGTCTGCTTGGGGCCGGGGGCGGCTGTCTTTAACAGCTACAGTGTCACTGTGTTGTAGATGAGAGAGAGAAATAAACAGCCTCTCCACGGAAATGTGACCTAGTAAGTATGGTCCAGGTCTTTCTTTCTCTCACCCAAATGTCCTGTCTTGAGTTTTAGAGATGTATAAAACGAAGAAAGCATCTTTTTCTGTTTTTCTTTACTCAAATTCATGCTCTATTAAATTGTTTTAGCTTTTATTTTTCCTCCCACTTGTTTCACCCCATAGGCTCTTTTTTGTTATTTAACCTTTTGAAAATGTGTTTATTTTACACTTTTGGTTTGTCTTCTTTGGTGGTAACCTTTTTTTTTTCCACGTGACTAACGTTAGCGATGTCTTTCACAGGTGCGGCTTCAGGTTCAAAATGTGGACAAACCTCTGTACCGTGGGACGTTTCACTGCTTTCAGTCAATCATACGCCAGGAATCGGTAACCTTTAATTTTTCATTTACCCTTTAAATTGAACACCTTTTTGAATGTATTTACAACTTTTGAGGAACATGTAATTTTCATCGTGTTGCTGATCATCAAAGTGTCTGGTTACTGTGTGTGTGTGTGTGTGTGGGGGGGGGGGTTGACAGGCAAAGGATATGTGTGTCTTAGCATGGCTCAGAGACAACCTATTCCTATGTGGGCTAAATAAAGCTTCGGGTGTTGTGCTATTTGTAGAATATGCTCAGTTATCTGGCTGTCGCGTGTGGTGAAATAGAGTTTTGAATCTCATTGAGTAAGTTCTACACCAGCTGGTGTCGACCAATTTCAACACTTTAAAGGGGATGTGTTATGACTTTATTTTAGCTATAATAATTCTTTTATCTATACAAAACATGTTTGTTGAGTTTTTTCACAAAATCCCTCAAATAAAGCAATCTTTGCAGCGCCATAACATTTTCAGTACCTTCTACAATGAGCCATTTTACGGCTCTGTCACTTAAAATACAAGCTGCTGCTGGTCACGCCCACCCATTCCCTGACTGGCTGGGCTTTATCACAATAAAAATGTAAGATATGGGTTACATTCCTACTTCCTATACAAACAGTGTTATAATTAAAGCACTGTGTCCAGAAATCACTTCAGTTGGGTCCTATTTGTACCCACAAGTGTTAAATTGCTCATTTTACATGCACGAAAATCTTGCCAACACACCCCTAACAGCACCAAGGCCGCATTCCAATACTCGCCCTGCGGTCTTTAGCAAAGTGGACTTGGAGAAAGTGCGCTGCAAGGCTTCGAGTGCGTAGTACACACGTGTGCAAATAATTGCGGAATTGAGAAGGGGAGTACTGCGTCATCGACCGCAACAAATGCCGGGATGCTGGTTGCTGTGATACTTAGTTGTTTTTTTTAAACCTTTAACAACTTTCAAACAACCAACCAAATTATTTGAAATTAATTTACATTTCTTGCTGCTTTGTCTTAAAGTTTCAGAGCATCAACTTATCATCCTAAAATTAACTAATTTCATTAGAAAATACGTGTTTTCAGAAAAGGAACTTGAGCCTTTTCTCCCGCAGCAATGGATTGTGGGTAATACACAGCGATGCAGACTTGGGTGAAGTATGGATAAAGGGTGCTAAAAGGGGCATTATTAACTTTCACATTTGAGAATCGAGACACCCTACGCACTCGCACCTCTGGTCGGGATCACGCAATTGAAGGGTGCCAGGTGTGAGTATTGGGATTGGGCCAAACAACTTCCCAGTTAACCTATTTACATCTGAACTGTGACAGAAACACAAAATCATTATTTAAAAAGACTTTCATCTCCTTCTGCCTACTTGACAAGGCGAGTGAGTACAGCTACCTCTGTCGTTTGATCACTAATCCTGCTGTGGATTTCCCAATGCCTCAAGGCAATCTGCCTCGAAGTGGTTTGCACACCCTTAGATTTTCGCATATTGTTGCTGGGATGGCCATCGAACAGGAGATGGTAGAATGTCTCCAGCTATCATTTTGTGCTTATCTGGAGTCGGCTCACAGGGGCAGCAGCCTAAGCAGAGAAGCCCAAACTTCCTTCTCCTGACCACTTTCAGCGCAAGCTCGTCCGGTGGAATCCTAAGGCATTCCCAGGCCAGCTGAGAACCTTAGTCTCTCTAGCATGTTGTTGCTCTCTCTTTAAATCAACATGTCATATTCTAAACAGTATTAGTATCTGGGGTGAAAGGGTTTCTATGCCAATCTCCCCTATTGTGACATCACAATCAGGTACTTTTTGAAATTGCTTGTTTTTGGCATAATTCCTAAACCAATCACCAATAGAAAATCTGTGGACTTTTTTAAACATTTAGAGGCAGTAGAGACTCGCATGGCAGAACAAAAAGGTGCAAAAAAGTCATTTGCATTACATGTCCCTTTTTTTAAAGAAATTAGGTGTAAAACAATCTGTGCTACAGACAATCTAACTCGAGAGTTCTGAATGTACGTGTTTGCTTTCAAGTCAACATCATCGTTATGACTAAAAAAGTTGTTTTCACACTCTTACTTCTACGGTGGCCTTGGGCTTTAACCATCGATCTACATATATGGACAATGGGTTTCCATAGGCTCCAATAATAAGTTTTTGTACTAAAATGGGAGGTGGCCACCACCACCAATGTCACAGGTTCCATCAAGCCCAGACAATTCCATAAAAGGGAAGAGAGGTGGAGCTGAGGGTGGGGCTGTAAGGCTGGGATCAACTGATGACACCCAGTCGAACTAGCTACAAGCTAACCTGAAGCTAACCCAAAGCTAATGCGGAGGTGGTAGCTAAGCTAACGGAGGTAGCAACCTAGCTACAACCGGAGTTAACTGTGCACAACACCAGTGCTTCTGAGTCAGAGATACGCCGGGCTGACCGCTGGGTAAAACCGGGTGGAACACAGAGGTCTCCGAGACCTCCACAAGCCGGCAGCCACACAGCAGACAAGCGCCGCTGCGATCTGAGATGCGCAGAGCTGCCGCTGGGGAGAACCGGGTGGAAAGGTTTCCATCCCAGAGCTCCACAAGCCGTCAGCTTTCTGAGCCGCATTGTGGGGGCCTGGCTTTAACGTGACATAAAAGATAGATAGATAGATATTTTTATTCGGTCAACAACGACAATTTATCAGTTTTACATAAAAGTAATCAAGCAACCGAAAAAAGGAATAGGTTGAAGCCTAGTGGCTTATAATTAGCCTATCCTTAACTCCCACAGACATAATCAAATCCTTAACCAAGGCTGATAGCTAAGATGCATAACATTTAAAGAAAAAACAATGATAAATCAAGAAATCAAATCAACACAAGGTTGGACATCAAACTAAGTTTCTATAACTTTGGAAGATGTAATTTTTTAAAATTTTCTTGAAAAACGACAAAGAATAACACATCTTCAGTTCATCATTAAGTCCATTCCATAACTTCACTCCCAAAACCGACACACATCTATACTTCGCATTAGTTCTCACTTTAGGTATTTCAAACATATAAGACCCCCTCAAATCATATTTTCCATCTCTTAATTTAAACATACTTAAAATACAAATTGGAACATTCTTTTTCACCACTCTATACATCATTTCTAAAGTTTTAAGATATATAATGTCCTTAAATTTTAACATAGCTGATCCTACGAAAAATTGTTTTGTGGACTCCCTATATCCAGCTTTATTTATTATTCTAATAGCTCTTTTTTGCAATTTAAAAATTGAATCCAGATATGTTTTGTATGTTTTCCCCCAAATTTCCACACAATAACTCATATAAGGCAAGCAAAGGGAAGTGTACAATAAATAAAGGCAGCTCTTGTGCAATAAATCTCTTGTTTTATAAAGATTAGAAATAGACTTAGATAATTTCCGTTTCACATGATCTATGTGAGACTTCCAACAAAGTTTATCATCAATTATTACTCCTAAAAATTTAGTCTCATTTACTCGTTCAATTTCAACATTATTTAGATTTAATTTTACTTCAATAGTATTCTTAATACCTCCAAACAACATAAATTTAGTTTTACTTTCATTCAGTGATAGTTTATTAAATACAAACCATCTATTTAACTTCATCAATTCTATTTCCACTGTTTTCAGTAAGTCCTTTATGTTATCTCCAGAACAAAATAAGTTTGTATCATCAGCAAACATCACATATTTTAAAATATCACTAGCTGTACAAATATCATTTATATAAAGTAAAAATAGCTTTGGTCCCAACACCGATCCTTGCGGAACTCCACAAGTTACTTGTCTAAGTTTAGATTTCATATTATTAATACTCACATATTGGAACCTTCTTTCCAAGTAACTATTTAACCAAAGTTGTACAACACCTCTTAAACCAAATCTTTCACATTTCTGTAACAGTAAAGAATGGTCTATCGTATCGAAGGCTTTGCGTAAATCAATGAACACACCTATTCCAATCTGTTTTTTATCCACAATTGTTGCAATATTTTCAATAAATTCCATTACTGCTAGAGATGTTGATCGATTTCTTCTGAACCCATACTGATGGTCATTCAATAAATCATATTTTTCAAGAAAATAATTTAGTCTGTTTTCAAATAGTTTTTCAAGAATCTGAAAATGTAGGCAGCAAAGATACTGGTCTAATTTGACACAACCTGTTTATCTCCATTTTTATATATTGGGATCACTTTGGCAATTTTCATTTTATCTGGAAAAATTCCGGTTTGAAATGATTTGTTACAAATATAAGTTAACGGTTGAAGGATACTATGAAGAACTTCTTTAACTAATGACATATCAAGGCCGTCACAATCCATGGATTTTTTACTCTTAAATTTACTCACCACATCTATAATATCACTCTCACAGACTCCTCCAAGAAACATTGAGTTGCATTTATAAGAAGTAAAATTTAAAAATTTGTCATCATGTCAAGACTGAACTAAGTTGCACGAGTCTTGCGCTGCTTCACGCCGGAAGCATCAGTGGTGTGGAATGTCACTGCTTCAAATTGAATCCATTAGTCTACGGGGTTGATTCAAACTAGCTGCAACGCAGAAATTTTCTGGTGCGTCTCAGAAGCAGTGTGCCACGATGTCCCGCATAAAGATGTGATTGGATTCCATTTTTGCCATGAGCCGCTTCTAGGGCTAGACAGGAAGTCACACATGGTTTCAGTGAAAAACCCTCTGGTAATTTTCAAAATATGACTATTGCATAGATGCAATTTTGTATCCATGTAGATTACGTCTATATGTGACCTAGCTACCTGTTAAGTCCCGACACCGCTGGAAAGGTGCGACTGTGTGTTTTTCATGGCTTTGATCTCAACAGTGGAGAGGAACAACATATTTGAAATTAAACTGCGGCATCAAACTTAATTTCCTTCCTTTTGGTCTAATGGCGGATGTTATAAACAAAACGTGACCTTTGAAGTCACGAGGGATCTTGTTATCTCACGAGTCTAGCAAGAAGCACAGCGGAGAAGTCGCTCAGCAGCTGAGACTCCCAGTGTGTACTGACACGCAGCGAAGCTCACAAGTAAACCGTTCCACTGATGCTTCCATTGTGAAGTAGGGTTACTCTACGTATGAAACACACCTTTGGCTTCATGTCAGTAGACTTATCGTGTGCAATAAGGAGACCAGCTTATGTGTGTGGCTCAGTCGTTGCATGTCTTCTTCTTTGCAGATGTTGGGTTTGTATAAAGGCATCGGCTCTCCAATGATGGGGCTGACGTTCATCAATGCCATAGTTTTTGGTGTCCAAGGCAACGCCATGCGGCATCTTGGCCGCGACACACCGCTCAACCAGTTCCTGGCTGGGGCGGCAGCTGGAGCCATTCAGTGTGTCATCTGCTGCCCGATGGAGCTGGCCAAGACGCGCATGCAGATGCAAGGGACTGGAGAGAAGAAGTCTAAGAGGAAGATGTACAAGAACTCTCTGGACTGCCTGGTGAGGATCTACAACAAGGAGGGATTCAAAGGGATCAACCGCGGTATGGTTACCACCCTGCTGCGCGAGACGCCGGGCTTCGGTGTGTATTTCCTCACGTATGACGTGCTGACGCGTTCGCTGGGCTGTGAGCCAGAAGACCCCTACATGATCCCAAAGCTGCTGTTTGCCGGCGGGATGTCGGGCATCGCCTCCTGGCTCTCCACCTACCCCGTGGACGTGATCAAGTCGCGCCTTCAGGCGGACGGGGTCGGGGGCGTGAACAAGTACAGCAGCATCATGGACTGTGTCAGGCAGAGCTTACAGAAGGAAGGCTGGAGGGTTTTTACACGCGGACTCACGTCTACGTTGCTCCGTGCGTTTCCAGTTAACGCCACCACGTTTGCCACTGTGACTTTGTTTTTGATGTACATGCGGCAGGAAGAAGAATGTAGCATGCAGAACTCTGAGCCGCCGTGCGTGCAGCTGCAGCCTCTGCCGCAGCAGCCGCAGCCGACCAGCATGTGAGTCGTTAAAATCGTCGACAAACCCGTAGATCAAAGTTAAAGCAGATCTGTGATCTGTTTACAGGCATCTAATGAACAACTGAGTCGGTAAGCGTCTGGCCAGGTCTGCCACTTGTGGTATTTAAAGAATATAAATATATAATTAGGCTAAAAGCTGCTTTTGTATATACGGTTTCTTCTGAACTACAGATATTTTTTGTACATATAGTGAGTTTTAAATTTATTAGGAATCTAAAACGTAGAGTCTTTGTCTTTGCTGCTGTTTACTAGTGTCCGGTATTTGATGCCTCCACTTTTGTTCCCATCTATATTAATGTGCTACCAAAAATTAAGAGTCAAGCATGCACGAATCAGTGCATCACATTTGCTTCCGTTCAATGACAATTTAAAATATTTTATTTTTGGGTTGTTGACCAAAGCTGTTCATCTCAGTTTGAATGCATTTTAGCATCCTGCAGTAACGGTTACAAATATCAACAGTTGGTTACGACAATAATTGTTATATGTACCCTTCTTTGCCCATAAAGTCTGACGAATTTAATCTAAATTATTGCTGCTGTCTTAAGGTTTATTCAAGTGTTACGTTAGAATAAACGTTTCACCTCAAAACCAAACTTGCAGCTTCTGTTGCAGATGTAATTTAGATTAAAACATCAAATATAAACAATCTTATTTCAACAATCTGAGTACTTGCATGAATGTCATAGTGACAAAAAAAGCACCTTAAGGATTCTTAACCACGGGCATGGTTGAGAACACAATGGTAATCAGAAACCATTTATATTTTGTATTTCCTGCTGAGGCAACATTTAACTGGAATGTTGGGCTAATAGGTCGGCCTGTTTTGAAAGTGGGGTTTTAAAAATCCCAAATGTATATTTTATCCTGCCTGTAGATGTTGGTTGTAAGCCCCAGGTTGTCCACAAGGGGGCAGTATCTGAGCAGTTGTGTGCATCCATTTTGCACATTATCCCTCCAGGTGAAAGTTTACCTGAGATTGCATCTCTTACATTGTTTGGGGGTTGCCCAAAGATGGCGATGTACATATTAAGGGAATGTCTTTTTTTTTCTGTCTTAGATTTCTTTAGGTTTTAATTTTACTGTAATTGCTAGTTTTTTTTAAGAGTTTGTCTTTGCAGGTGGAGCAGTCTTTATATCTTCCTGAAATGAGCTGCTTAAAATGACGAATGTTACCTTTGCATCCTGTACTTTACTGTATACGACACGTTGCACCCGAGTAGCACATCCACATGTAGTTCTTTATGAAGACTGCTCAAATAAAAGACTTGTTTTAAATAAATGTGTTGTTTTTAGCTGAATGTAAAGATCTGTGTGAGATATCAGACATTTAACTTCTCCATACAGGATAAGTGGAGAATGGAAAATTGACAATGACCAGTTTAAGAGTCAAAGCTGACCCCTAGTGGTTATCAAGAGGCAGCACAGTCACACTTTAGAAGGAAAAATCAGCAGTGTGTAAAAAATCTGGGTATTTATTAAAGAAATCTTAAAAATATTTCTGTTATGCACTGAAAACAAATCTGTACATTATTTTACAAATTAAATATCCAAGTGTTGATACTTGATTGAGCTCCTGATCTTAGTGTTGATAGGCTCACCATCAGGGTGAATTATAGAAAACTCAAACATTGCTTCTACTATATTATTAAAATATGTGTTTTTTTAATGTGCAAAGACAAAATCAACGCTCTTATTGAGGCAATACAGTTACATAGTAACAAACGTCTTGTTCCTCCAAAGGCTGAAAACAGATAAGTTATGAAAAATAAACCAGATTGACTCATCAGGTGTTGTTTCCCGTTTTCGGTGTGTTCACAAGGAACGAGTCGCAGGAGTAGCGCAGGAAGCGATAGATCTCCTCGGCTCTGGATCGACTCATGTTGCCTCCTTTCTGTATGGCTTCAACTGGGCTGCAGGTGCAAAACACGTAGGTGAGCAAAAAAATAAATAAAAAATGGAGGTGCTCTTTTTTTAATTATAAAATTCTGCGCGTCATGCTTCCTTTACCTGTCTATTAGCTGGGCGATCGAATGAAAGTTGTGGCTCAAGTTGAGAGCGTGGGCGTAGTTGACTGAAGGGATGCTCAAATACATCTGCAGGACCTGCTGCCTGTGCTGCCCTTTGACCTCCAGCGGTACAGTGATGCCTTGACCTTTACGGTGCTCCAGTCTGGCTAAATCCATCAGCAGGACGGCCGTGTCCTCAGCGCCATCGCTCCAGAGCAGTCGCACCCCTGCAGACACCAGTGCTGCCACCATGTTGTCATAGTAACGCGTGCGCTGGAACGGCCGGGACGTCTCACCTGAAACAGATTATTCAAAAACAGATCGGATACTTGAAATCTCAAAAGATGTTTCCCATCCATCCATCAAATCTGGCAGTGTGCCGTCATTTTTTAACGTACCCGTCTTGGTTCGATCTTTCTCCACAATCAGGCACACACGATCAAACAGCACCTGCAGGCCGGTGACTCTTTCCACCAGTCTCTTCCGGTTCTGCATTGCAGCCACGTCTGACTGGCTGTGCCTCTCCACCGCCATGCGGTTGCTGACGATGAAGTAGCTGCCGTCCAGCGAGCAGATGTGGACGGTTGCGGCATGCCGCTGGCGTAGGAGACTCATCAGCTCTACTCCGCTGCTGATGCAGCGGCTGTCCACCAGAATGCACACAGAGCCAGACGTTGAAGGCGACCCCTTTTCCGCTGACTGACTTTGCGCAGAGGATTTCTGAGGAGCAGCAGAAGAAAAGCATGAAGACATCGTTGCAGAAACAGGCGCGCTTCTTCCTGATCTTCCGATCATACCTGCGGTTCTTTTTTCGACACAGACTCCTCAAAGTCAAGCTCGTCAGAGAGAAGATGTTGACTTTCCAACTTCTGGAACATTTTCTGTTCTTCACTCGATGAGCGAATCGGTACTTTACTCAACGACGACGCTCTGGATGATGAAGATGAAGAGGACGCAGCTTGTGTCTGGTTTTGCTGCAAGTGGACAACACTCCCTGCTGTACTCAGATCCATCATCTTCCTCCCTTCCTCCTCCTCTTCACTAGAATCATTAATGCGTATGACTCGGGTGCGTTTGGTTTTCACACCAGCTCTCTGCTCGGGTGGAGGTTCACTTCTGGTCTTGCTGTCTGCCCTTGTTCTGTGCAGAAAAACACGTCTTCTGGTTGCGTACTGCCTCCTCCCATCCACACACGAGTCCTCGGGCATAAGCTCAACATCTTCAACCTCTTCCTCGTTGCTCTCCAGCTCCTCTTCATCGCTTCCAACTACAAAGCTGTCCTCTGCATACGTCTCATCCTGCTCAGGAACCTGGTCACACACAAAAAAATTCTATAAAATGGGCTGAAAACGCTCTTTGTGTACATCGTCTAAGACATTTAGGAATAGAGATCAGAAACAAAACATGCCTGAGAAAAAATGTCCATGTTGTGGTGGTTTCTGTAGGACATTTTGAATTTGCCCTGAGCTGCAGGGCTTCTCACCGACTTCAGATAAACTCCCTGCATCTCCGAGTCTGATGTAAAAACAGGAAGTCAGAGATTAAATGTCACCGTCTGGACTCCAAAACGCAGAGGCGCTAAAACCAAATAACAAGCTACCGTTCAGGCCCTGGGAGAGGTGTGTGTTGTCCACCACGAAGCCATCAAGAAACCGATTTTGGTCTTCATCGTCCTCTTCATCAGAGGAAACGTTTGCCCCACCCTCTTCCTCGGACAGCTCTGCCTCTTCATCCAGAAACTGACGCGCTTTCTGACGTTTGTTCTGAACAGAATGTGACCGTTTACTAAACATGAAGGTGTGGGATAGCGATCCCAGAGGAACGGGAACAGGCTCAAACTTTTACTGGATCTAAGTTATATTTGTATCTGTTGCTGACCTCATCTCGGACTTGTTGGATTTGTTTCCTTTTAGCCCCCGGTGCCGTTGTTCTGCGTGGTAACGTGGATTCATTCTGGAAATCATCGTCAGAAACCGCTTCACCCTGAGTTTCGTCAGTCTGGAGGAAAGAAAAACATCGCTCAAGGTCCCTGCTGGTCCACAGCATCAGCGTTAAAGAAAATCTTACCACGTTGAGTGCAAAAACACGTTTCCTCTTCACCACCACTGGAGAGTCCACATCACTTGTGCTCTTGGACTAGAACAAACAAAACAGTTTACACATGCAAAGCTGCGTATGTTTTGTCTTACTTTTGCATCAAGATGAGCCTCTCGACAACTGCTTCCTCTCTGGTGGTTACTATGACAACCACACGTACCTTAGAAATGACAGATCTTGTCTGCGTTGTTTCAGCATCAGATAAACGAAGACCTGATGTTTTTATTTAGGTACCAAACAGACTAACGGCAGCTGCAACCACGAGTCTTTAGAGGTTTAATGCAAACAAGCAGATTTTGTCCTTTTGAATGTTAGTATAAAGGAAAAGTGATTCAGTAGAGATGCACCGATACGAACATCTGGGCTGATATCGATATCTGATATTAATGATGAAATTACAATATAAAAAAATAAATAAATCCAATCATCTCTTAAATCGATGACTTGCTCACCAATTCTGGGGATGACAAGGGGTTGATCTTAATCTGTGGCCTTCTTTTGCGCAACACAACTTCCTCTTCGCTGTCGCTGTAGCACTCATCTGAGAGAACACACACACGCACACGCAGACATTTTCATATCAGCTTTAATGAGGACTGAGGGAGAATAAAGAATCATTTCATTAACAAACCTAGATGAGGAGGAGAATGGATTCTAACAGACTCTTGTCGTGAGACACTCTCCACTCCACAGGACGTCGGCCTGGCGAGACTCGACACGAGCGTCCGCCTCACCCCCGGTGATGTGATTGGAGACGAGAGTTCTCCACCTCTAGACGTTCTATGTTGTGGTATTTGTGGAGAGGAAACCTTGGATTCACTAAACAGTCTGGCGAAGTTATTACAAGGAGTGGATGACTTCGAAAGAGGCGGCAAGAATATGGACCGCTTAGTAGGAGACGAAGAGGGTGGTAAAACATCCGCCTCCGTCTCATCCTCAGAGTCCTCCAGGAAATAACCAAGGTCAAAGTTAACGGAGAAGAGATGGGAGCAGTCTGTTGATGAAGAATTTACATTTTGGGGATTGTCTGTGACATCTGATGTTCTGTGCCCCGTGCGCTCAGGTGATTGCGTGGTGCTGGATGCGTTCGTTTGATTCTTTGTATTTTCAGTGCTGTTTAAAACGGCTTTAGGACTCAGGGGTGTCCTGAGTTTGACATCATCCTCTGGAGTGGGAATTTCTGGAATTGTCATCTGCAGGAAGGCTTCATCATCCTCAAACAGATCTAAGCTGTCATCCATCTGGTGGCTGAAAACGCCTCCATCGTCCTTCTTGTCTTCATCTGTCGCGTCCGTCATTGACTCCTCCCTCTCTTTGATCGTGACAACTTCACTTTTTACTTCCTTAATTTTGCCAGCTGCCTTTAAAACAAAAGTTTCCTCCTTGAAGTCACTGTCAACATCTCTGACATCATCGGCGTCGTTATCCTCAAAAAGTTCCTCCCAGGTAGGACTGTTGGCGGCTGCGCTGAAAGGCCGCTCATCATTATCGCCCTCTCTGCACACTGCAGGTTTATTAGATTCACAGCCACCATCCATCTCGTCATCATCGTCCACATCCAGACTAAATCTGATAGAAAATGGCTGATCAGGGGGCCGAGGAGGAGGTGGAACATGTGGGGTGGCATCTTCTGCTTTGAAAATGTCCGTTAGTGGCGGTGGAGACCGGGAGAGAAGTTCAGCCACGTTGGAGAGGACGGCCCTCAGAGTCGTGTCTTCTCGCGGTTTGTTAGAATGGGACACTGGTTTTGAATTCCACGTGGGAAGGTAGAACATCGCCTCAAGTTCAACGTCTTCATCATGTTCATCAATTAGAGGCGACTTGTCTTGAATTAGCGGATCTCCAGGGGTTGGCTCTGCTTTTGTGACACTAATGATGGAACAGTCATTGTCATCGCTGTTTGACGGATGATCCTCGTGTTTGGGGTCGTCTGTGGCATCATCACAAGGTACCTCTTGTGGAACAAGAGGTCTTTGTTTTGTCTTGGAAAATAAGCATGCTGTACTTGTGCCCTCACTTTCCATTTCCTCATCTATATATTCCAGTTTAGACCAAGATGAGTGGGACGGTGTGGGTTTTCTGTTGGCTGTTTTACTGCAGATCTTTTTGGGCTTCTGTTTCTTCAGTTCACTTTTATTACTGTCCTCTGGATGAAGGTAAGGAAGAAGAGCCTGTTCGTAGTGACATTCACCCTGGGGATGAATAAGCATAAAGTCGAATAAGGTTTTCCTTATCAGATTCTCTTAACATGTACCATCAATACACTGAAATATCACAATATGTCGTTATAATATTTAGCTGATAATTAAAAGCAGTGCACTGTTGTTTATATTGAGAATTTACATGCAAATATTTGCTGTATTTATTTTGATGTTGTGAAATTCAAACTCATCACCTAAGTGGCAGCTGTTTTTACTGTCTTCATTCTGATGAAACAAGATCTTCTGGGATTGCAATATTTATTGTATTGTCTTTCTGTAATGCGATATTTTTTGTACCGGCCCCCTGCATTGATGTATATATGTATATATATATATATATATATATATATATATACATATATATATATATATATATATATATATATATATACATATATATATATATATATATATATATATATATATATATATATATATATATATATATATATATATATATATATATATATATATATATATATATATATATATATATATATATATATATATATATACATATATATATATATATATATATATATATATATATATATATATATATATATATTAGTATTGTATTGTCCTACTGTACTGTTATATTTACCGTACCATCCCCCTGTATTGTGAAATATATTGTTTAATTTCCCAGTATTGTCATACATATCATACCGCCCCCCCTCTATTGCGATATGTATATATGTATGTATATATAGTATCGCAATATTTACGGTAATGTCCCCATGTATTGCAATATATATCATATTGTCCTCATGTATTGCGATATTTTTGTATCGTCCTGCCTGTATTGTGAATTATATTGTTTAATTTCCCAGTTTTGTCATACATATCATATCGTCTCCCCTATATTGTGTTTATGTTTATTATGTTTATTTATTTGGCAGATGCTTTTATCCAAAGCGACTTACAATTTATAACCTATAGGGCGTGTTGTGATCTGTGGGGGAAACCGGAGTCCCCGGAGGAAACCCACTCTTGCATGGGGAGAACACGCAACTCCACGCAGAAAGAACGCAGCCGAGTTTCGAACCTGCGACCTTCGTGCTGCGAGGCAACAGTGCTAACAACTGCGCCACCATGCAGCCTATATATATTGTACTGTCTTCTCAGTGTTGCGATATATACTGTATTGTGACATATATTGTAGAATTTCCCTAGTATTGTGATACATATAATATTGTTTCCCTGTATTAAGACGTATACTGTAACGTAATATATTGTATTACCAGATTCTCGCTTATGCACACCCCTAGTAGTTACATTCAAACACCAGCAAAAAAGTCCTCTTTAATCATCTCCTTCTTGCTGGACATTACAAACAAACATCATCTAACATCAGAACAATGTAACACCTGTCACTTAGACAAACATTTGACCTGGAAGTGATTCATCTAAAGTGGTTTCCAGCCAGCACCAACGGGGAGCCACAGAACCTGTGACCAGAATGAGGAAGACGCTCACTGGAGCAAGAAAGATATTGTTTTCCTTGCTAAATTAAATGCAGTGAAGCAGAATTAGAGAAGAGTTCATGCCCAAATAAAAATAAGGAAACAACTTCTAAATATCACTAGAAGCTACAAATGTCTATGTGCTGGGAAAGTTAATCATGCCTACATTTCATTTGGTCTTTTTCAGAAATCTGAACAGCAAGAAGAGAACGCATTACCCCAATTACTCTACAGTCTCATTCCAAACTTTTAATCACCTACAGGGCATTAAAAGGACTGATTCTCACCACCGTTTCTGACCCAATACTTAAACAGGAACACAGTTTATATTTGCTGCTTTTCCATCAATGAAAATAAATCTAAGAAATAATTTACTGGCACACAAAGTTCAACTTGACCAAAAGAAGAATGTGTTAAATTCCAGTGGATGGCGAAAGCTTTCAGCACCGCTCAGAGTCATAACGCTGGTCCTGGCGTCGCCCGAGAGCACTTCCAGTTGTTCTGATTTCTGCACACACGACACTGCCTCCTTTAATCCTCCAACCAGACAAATGAGCTGGCAGGCCAACACCGAGCTGCTTGCTGCCATCACAATCTCTCATTAACATTTAACAATTTTCACGGAAGGTTAAATACTTTCCACTGAAAGCAAAGAAGCAAAATCTTTTTGGGCACAAAGAGCTATAATCCTCCCAATCTTTTAATTTTTATTTACTTCAGTTAAACAATGAAATCTTTATATTAGTTTTAGGAGGTGAAGTTGGTTTTTAAAGGTGTGTTAAATCTAACTGACCACATAAGGCGTTGTTTAAGGAATCATCTCCTACACGCCGGCAGCACCACAATTTCTGACTCGAAAAGGGAAGCTGTGAACTTACAGGTTGAAGCATTATTTTCACATGACCGCAATAGGTTGAGAATCTCTGATCTTCTGTCGAGGGTTTTAAATGTGAGAGTCCTAACAGTAATATAGGAACTTTGTTATTGAAATAAAAATTTAAAGGTCTCATTCATTTGTTTGATTCCAACATCTGCTGTGATCACTAGTTTGAATGAATGAATGCATTGAGTCTTTTTTTTTTGTGGGGGAAAAAGCTCTTACACTCCTATTTCAGGGGGTAGAAGTTCGCTGGAGGAGTGGGTAACGGAAAACAGCAAGATTACGAGTCTTATTAAAATTCATGATTTGCAAAAATCTTGACCCTGATTGGCTAACAGAAAAGCTACTCTTTCTCCGCCTCTGTTCACTTTACTTTTCAGGTTGAAAAAATGCGATGCTGATGTTTTATCGCCACAAGCAACACAAGCCTGAATGCGTTTCACCATGTTGTGGAGTTGCTAACGCTAATGGTTAGCTTCTACCAGGTGAGACGTGCGCTGCTCTCTCCTGGACACAAAATCAACAACAGCCTTCTGTGGTCGCGAGGACTTGAATGCACGCTCATATATCTGTTTGGCTTTTTCTGACTCGATCGTTTTTCTGTCCATTTATGAATGAGACTAATGCAGGCGATAAGGCTGAAGATGACTTTTACATTCAGCTTGCCTGTGGACTTCAGAGTGACTGAACGAGACCTTTAAGTGTCATAACAGGTGCAAATTATAACCCTGATGAAACCACGCCACAGCGAAGGAAAACAACCAAGGCATAAGAACAAAATTAAAAATAATATTGATAATAACTAGGGATGCACCAATATTAAATTTTAGGGCCGATACCGATATTAATATCATTATTATGGCCAATAACCATAAATGCCGATACCGATATACTGACATTAATGCTTCTAAAACCAGTAGACTTTATAGAATGAAAATTGCTAAAGCTGAATTATTACGAACACACACCACACACATTTATGCATCTGAGGTGATTACAATCACTGTCACATGACTAAACAAATACACATCACCCCCCATCACCCTCTGAAACAGGTAAACAAATGGAGACAAAATGGAACAAATATCGGTTGTTAATATCGGCCCTTGTTTTAATTATCAGGCCGATACCGATATGTTAAAAAGTTACTAACATCGGCAGATACCGATATCGATGCCGATATATTGTGCATCCCTAATAATAACTCAACAACAAGGAAAGGAGAAGAATGGTTTACAAACTCCTTCCTTTGGATGTGAAAACATCCATATTTACACTCTTCTGAAGAGAACCTCACAGTGGGTTAACCTGAATGTTTGCACCATTTATTAATGACCAGATTATGGTCTCTGGATTTAAGGATCTCACATCCCAAAATAACCTTCATGATTATGATGATGATGATGAGAGAAACAGAGAGAGAGGGAGCTTCAGAGACCAGGAGGTTTCACATGGCTGACACAGTTTTAAAATGCATGATGAAACAAAGTGGAAACTCCTCTCTGCTGATTATCTCACTGCACTATGTTAATCACATGAATTTGATGCCCGTGAGCTGGCCCAAAGAATGCATCGTCTGTGTTCATCCGCCTGCATGACTTTGTTTCCAAACAAGTCCTGAAGCATCTTTGATCTAAGACAGAAGGAGACAACTTAAACGGTTTGGATTAGAAACGTTTTAGTGCCAGAAACACGCTGAAATACTCTCAAGTATCAACAAGTGCCCAAACACAAATGTAAAACATGAGAAATCGCACGTATGATTCATACGACTCGGCCCTGAGACGTCGATAAGATAACTGCTCTAGTGCAACTCGCCCTCGTGAACACGTAATTACGAGGAACTAGTCTGAAAACACACCCTTCCATAACTACACCGCTCAGTTTCTTTTTGATCATCTTTGAATCTGTTGTCTGTTCTCCGTGTGCATGTAGGTCATTATGGGCTGACCTAAATCCGGCTTCCTGGCGTTATGTAACGGTTCACAGAACCGTTACATAATCACGTGCGAGGGGGCCTGCGTGCAAGCCCCCATGTCTCTTTGTTTAAAACAAAATGAACGAAATTAACAACGCTGCTGGAAAGTGGGCTGAAGGCCTCTGGAGCAACAGGAAATGTGGCGATTTAACTAAACAACGTTTGGGTGAAACTTTAGAAATATAATGAGCGTTCTCATATAATAAAAGGGATGAAGGGGGGGGGGTCAGGAGGTCGTTCTGCTGATTCAGCGTAAGCTTCATATAACCAACACAATGTTATGGGAATACGGACTACTTTTATGGAAGATGGGCAAACACTTCAGTAAGTTAGATGCATTGGAGCTGAAATTTATTGTTATAGAAAACTTTAAAATGTATTTTTATGAAGGTCTGATTCTTGTTTTCCTCACTTTGAAAATAAATCTTCATTCGTTTTAGTAATAAACAGCCTTTGGTTGAGTTTCAGTTCCTTCTAGGATTTTTTATTCATTTTAATAAAATTTAAGTTTTTTCCCTCATTCTATTTCCTAAATAGTCTGGAGACTGGGCTAAAAGAAAAAAAACTCAAAATCCCACATTCAAAACACCGTTTTGTGAAACAATGAGAAATAAAAGCTCATAGGGAGGTTGATGCCAGCAGCCTGCTGGCACTAATAGCAACACGA